CATCCCAAGCCTTTGAACGATCAAAAAGATGTACAAGATGTTCAATCTCCACTAGGAATCCATCTCGCTTCACTTACTCATCTTGTGGAATTGGACTTGGAAAGAGCGCAGTGTGTGGATGCCAGTTGGAGTTCCCTTCCTTGGAAAAGTTCATTAAAATCATTAGCATTGGAACATTGTGATCGAGTCACAGTACCAGCTTTGCATGCGTTCCTTAAGCGTTTCAAATCAACGCTAATCACACTTTCATTAGATAACGTTCCTTTCCACCACGACCACGCTCAAAATCGCGATCTAATTCTTCAGGATTTATCAGAAAATGAATACCGATTTGAATTGCCTCAACTGATCAATTTAGAAGTCACAAGTCCTTCACACATACAACTTTTGAAAGCTTTTCAACCTTCACAGAACATTTCATTGATTTCATTAGGGAACACTCCAAAATTTCACGAAGCAAAACAACTAATACACCACGGGGGGATCCTGGGTCAGAAGTTGATCCTGACCGGTCTTCAACACGTCGGGTCGAATTCCGACCCACAGATCGCTCCTGGGTAGACCAAAGGTCACCTCGAGCTGGTCTTTGTAGGCCGCCCCTGTTCGCGCCCAGAACAGCCTGCAGCCTGGGTTGTAGGCGCTCCACGCGGGCCCATAGACGGCCTATTTGGTCAGCAGTCGGTATTGACCTTCCCAAAACCGACTGCTGAGTCATCGCGCTCACATGGCTCGGCAGTCAGTTCTTGCTGCGCTGAGCCACGCCATCCTTGATAAGTCGCTCTGGGACAGCCATCAACTGTTGTTTCAGGCTGATTGAATCCAAGACTTATCACGTTGAAAAATAAGTTCTTAATAGCATTCAGTTGTGGTTAACGAGCCGTTTCAGACCACAAAATCAACAACGTGTTACATTGGTATAGTGAGCACGAGCAGCGAGTGCCCAATACCACAAACCAAAATGTTTGAAGTTTCAAATTAATTGCCCAGTTCCGAACAAAAGCACACCAGCCTTGAGCCTTCTTGACTTGTTGCTGTCGAAGACTCTGTTGGAAATCTCTGAAGTTTCAGACAGAAACGACCAATCAGAGGCTGCATGATGGTCTTCACCCCTGCGTATGAGTTTTTCTCGCGTCGTGACCCCACCCCCGAGTATCGCGGTCTTCTCGCGTGAGTGCTCGTGTCCTATCTTTGAATCCCAACCCAACTTGTTTGTTTCCTTCAAGAATTTCCCCAAATTGTCTTATTCATTGTTCTGAACTTGAATTTACAACTTTTTCCAAACTTCACCTCATCATTACTTTCATCTCACTCAAGATATCTTCTCAACCACAATCACGTGGAGTGGGGCCCTATTTGCTTGCGAGTCCCTCCATGAGTTAGTTTCCTCACCTTTATCTTATTGGAATTTTACCCTGATTCAAAATCAATCCTTCTTCAATTTGCTTTTGCTTCCTTTAGATCGAATCGACATGAGTCACCTGATTGTGACTTCTTCCTTGATTCTTTGTTTAATATTATTAACGTGAGTACGGCTAAGTTTTGGCTTTAGGTGTAAAGCCGTGAAGCCTGGTTTGCAACCGGGTCAACGAATTTGCTTGATTCTGAACGTTTTGCTAAGCTAATATCAGGATCCACTACTCTTGACCTCTCTTGACCTTTTGACCATTTGTTTGGATTTTGATTCGCCGACTACACAGATAACCCAAGCTGATCTTCCGACCCAATCGATCAACTAAACTTGAGATGAAACACTGAGAAAGAAATTCAAATAGCCAATTAGACGATTGGAAGAAAGGACTGATCAAAGCAAGATGGATGAATTAAAGTGAGTCCAATCTTTCCATTCAATGCAAGTTCATTTCATTTATTAGATATCATCTTACCACCTTTACTCTGATATGTTTCTATCATTCTATACGATCTCAAACATCAACCAAAACCAACTAATTTGGATCAATCACACTTATTTTATAATCAAACTTTTCTTCTCTTTGGCTTGTTTGCTCTTGTCTCACTCCAGCTAATCATTCCTTTTGACTTCAAGATTTTATAGACTGGTCTATAGTGAGGATTGGGCCAGCTTTGATAGAACAGTCCACATCACCAAGATCGACAATCTTGTGACCTTTGATCTTCCCTACGAAGAGGCCATACGAGCCGAGATGAAGAGTCAAGAAAAGGGAATTGGCGGGGAGGCCAATCAATGAATTCTTTTGAAATGTTGCAAACTAATCATCTCTTCATTCATGTTGATCTTGTTATTTCTTTCAAAAAGAAGTGTTTTCATTTCTTTTTCAACACCAATTTTCCATTCTATCTTGTTTGTTATTTGTCATTTGAGGAGACCATTCCACTGTTTGCCATTCCAGTAATACACTCCCCTTCATGCCCACTATGCACTTGATCTATTCCTGAGTCTTGACAGCTCCTCGTGCCCAGATTCAATCACCAGTCCCAATGAGGTTGCAACGGGGTTTGGCCCCGAGAGAATGAGTGCCTGCGGGTTTTGAAAAAAGCCTACTGACCGTCGAAGGGTCGCGCAAGGCCAGACCTCTGGCACCGCAAAGGCGCCCCCAAGCTGCCCTCAAGCTGGACGGTCAGGCGTCTTTGTGTTTGGCACGGGGTCGTCGCCAAACTGACTACCAGCAGGCGGTCAGTCTCTCCGCACAGAGCGGTGGTCTGCTGGCGGCCGGTTAGGATGGCCATTTGGTGGTCAGGGTGCCCCCGTGGTGTATAAGAACGAGATGAGATTATTACTTTTGCTAAAAAGCTTGGTCTGATCAAGAAAAAATAAAACAGAATCAAACCCAGATTTCACCGCAGCAGTCACAACGCAGCAGAGAGAAAAAAATTTTAGGGTGCTGTGACCGGTGGTGCGATCCCCCATCCATTCGACTGGCCCATCACCCACCTCTTGGTTCTAGTTCCCATCACCTGGCCACCTCTTTTATCGCACACTCTGGCCAGATGAGCTTGTCAAACTCTTGGTAAGTCAATCCACGTGCTACATTATAAATAACTACTTATTCATAATCTATTGGTGCGCTTTCTAACAACATTTTCATATCCTTTGATTCAGATGACCATCCTCGCAACACAGTCTGATATAAATGATTGGTCCACCTAGCTTTGTCTCACCATCACCTCACCAGCTCTTCCTTCCCACACTCTTTTACGATGGGTTTGAGGTGTTGGATTTATGTCTCAAACCTCTTTCTCTGTAGTATGCCTCATATGTTGATAACGAGTATTTGTTAACAGATGAAAATTGGAGATGATGTTGAAGCTTTTATAGAGCGCACAACTACTGTGCTAATGTGAGAAAAAGGGCAAGTTGATTGAGATGTATCTTACATATCTCCAACCCGTCCAGTGCAAGCTCTGCTGAATAACAAAAGCCTAATATCCTATGAAAGATATTCGAAACATGGGTGATTTTTAAGGTACACCACGGGGGGACCTCGACCGTCTGCCGATGGGCGAGGTCGACCATCTTAAGATGGACCTTCCCTCCGCAGTGGCAGGCGATCCCTAGCTGGCCAGGATTGTGACGCCTGCAGGGCGCCGTCCAGGCGCCCAATAGGCGTCTTGAACGCGAACTTGCTGCGCTCCAAAAGCGCCACTGTGCGGACTTGGGGCGGCCAAAAGGGTCAGAGAAGCGTCAGAAGACGGTTCTTGTGTTTTTTTTGGTTGGGGTCGGATCGGAAAACAAAAACCCACATTGCCCAAAATGGGCATGGGCAATCGCAGCAAGCCAGGAGAGGAGACACGATTCAAGTGTTGACAGGTGAGGTTTGGGCACCAAAGCCGGTGAATTTCGCATACGAGGTTACAGATAAGAGAAGAAAGACAAAGGTTTGGATCTCTACAACTTTGATTTCCCAAACAACAAAACAAGCAAAAGCAACCAGTAGGGTACGTAGAGATATCAATCGCCAAACATTTCTGGTCATTCACAGTTCCATATTCAAGGAGCCTCCAGCTTCTTGGATACGCTCCATCTCGCTTTGAATCTCGTCCTCGGAAGGTAAATCGAAAGTTGCCGTAGTGTCGAAATCCGAAAAATGTCCTTCGTTATCAAAGTTGGCACGATCATCATCTAAAATCAACTTGTAAAACCTGGCAGACAAAAACCACGTTAATTGTTATTCTAAAGCGTACTAAACAAAGATTAGAGGACTGACGCAGAAGTGTATAAGGACCCTTGGACACTCAAACGGTGGAGCTGTAGATCCACGCGGGCCCATATGTTCCCTCCCCCACCGCCAGCCCGACGCGATTGAAAAATTCGTATGGCTTCGCGTCGCTGCCACCAAGTTGCGCTCAGCTTTCAGGAATGACGTGTATTTATAACAGATGCCAACTCACAAGGTACGCGATACGCAGCCGCAGAGCCAAAGACGTTCCGGCCCAATAGACGTCTTCGTCAATGCCGTCGGCGGTATTCCCACACTGTCTGGCGATCTACACAGACAAACAGTGTGTGAAAAATCAAAATTCATTCAAATTGGAAAACATCTTGCCGCGCGGGACTTACACGATGTAAAAGTTTTTTGAGGCAAGGGACCGTGGCCTCAGGGTTGTTTTTGATGTTGTGTAACACCTGAGAGGGCATAGGGTCAGTGAGCTGAACGAGGGGCAAAAGACAGTTGGAAACTGGGGCGATTAAACTTACCAAGTTGTGAAGCTTCTCTCTAGCGTGTTTCCCAGCGTCCTTAATCAAGGACGCATACTTTTGGGCAGCCTGAACATTTGCGACCCCATTAACCACTGGCGGCAGTTGTTCGGTAGCCCAAGTGCCTGGAGTGTTCCTAATCTTTTGCTGAAAGAAGTGTGATTCATTAAAACAACCGATTTCGAATGTAATCACGGTTAATTCAAGCAAAACTTACCCGGACCGTGTTGAATAGAGAATGCATGATGAAGTCTCCATTTGGGGTTTCCAGCTTCGTATAAGCGGCGATGATAGGCAGCGCCACCGATTCGTAAGCGGCCGCATCCACCGCAGCCTGATCACATAACAGAAATGTGAGGAGAAATGAGAACTTGAACATTCTAATATACGATAATAAAAGAGACAAAGGATGGTACAGACTTTCAGCTCAGGGGAGTACATCCACGGAGCAGCGGTGTTCGCTGCTCCAATCGTCGCAGCGGCAGCACCTGGAGCACCATTAGCCGGAGCAGGCTGACGAGAACACAAATTGTCCACAGTCTCTTGGACTTGTTCCACTTGGTTGGATAGGGTGACGAATTTGTTATCGATTTTCTCACCCATTGAGGCCAAATCTTCGTCGATTTGGTTGGCCATCGCGGTGATGTCTTCATTACACTTCGTCGACATATGATCGATCTCTTGATGAAATTTGTCAGAAAGTACCAAAACCTCTTTCTCTACCTTAGCATCTAGCCGCGCAATTGCAGCCATGATTTGGTCGTTTGAAATATCACCGGCGTCATTGTTCTGGAGGTATTACCAACCAGCACAATGAATGAGTCTGGTAAAACGTAAGACAGAAACAAAAGAAATACATAGGGGAGATTGCAGACTTACCGCTTCGTTTCCAGATCGCATCGAGGCATGACCTCGATGAGATCGCTGCTCCGCACGAGTAGCTGAACTGCTGGCGCCACTGGCTGCGTTTTCTAAAGGCCATTCAATTGAGCCACATGGTAAAAAGAATGGATGCGTAGAATCAAACGAAGCTCACTATTGACCCTCGGAGTGCTTAAGGAGTAGGGTTGAGCACGGTTTGATTGTGCGGCAATTTTAGCGGTCACAGCATCGGGACGGCCGGATTGAGACATATTTACAGTATTTATAATACTTTAACGATCTTTTGAAAATGATTAGAAAGGTTTTGGGGTTTTGAGTGTTGAGATTGAATGTTGTGAATCGAGTTGGAGCGAGCACAAGGAAACAGGCTGTAAGAGAAAGAGACGGTTTATATTTCAAGGACGCGCGCGTGAAATATAATGCAGGGGGGATGGCGATCCCAGATTGGTCGCCGTCGCGTCCTTCGCTGTGGTAGGGCATCATTCCAAAGGGACGCGATTGCACTTCGCGCGTGTCTCGTTACCTTTGCCTCTTTAGGAGGTCGTGACCGACAAAAAAGGTATGGCAGCAGGGTGCATTGCCAATTTAGGAAAGCATGGTCAAAATGTGTCGAGTGTGGGCTTTGCACCCCACTGTGCAAAGCCAAGTGTGCTTTGGGAGCCAGCGAAACATTTGATTGCAGAGGTCTCTTTGGAGTTAGGGGATCCCGTTTGGGATGGGATACAAGCCATCGACGAATGTGTGTTTGTTCGTCATTATATTAAATTAATAAATGGAATATTATACCACTTGAGAGCGCGTTAACCTCGTGAAGAATCAGAATCCTCCAAATCCTCGTCGTCCTCAGGCGCTTTTTGCTGGACCTTACCTTTCCCATGTCTTTTTCCTCGTGGTTTCACCGGCACCGCACGCCAAACCTTCAAGCCCTCCTGAAAGGCCGACAACCATTCAGTGGTACAGATAGGTCGACTGCCGATGTCGGCAACGACTCGGTGTGTTTCGGCTGAGTAGTGGCTTCCACTGTTCAGGACAAATAGTCCGGTTGCAATGTGGCCAATTGTACTGATTGAAACAGAGGTTTCCCTCCTTTCGAGCCGTTGTTTCGCGCCATCCGTGACTATACATTTTGAAGCGTGGCAATTGTGTTGCACGTTCAAAATGCAATATATGTCCTACATTTGTAATCAGTGATTCCATTCAAGATAAAATGGCCGAAGATTCGAGAGGCTGGACTTACCACTACTTTGACCCATTTATGCCGTTTCATCGTGATGATTTCGCGCATGCCATAAAACGGAGAGATCGCGCCTCGGCGAGTCTCCTGAAGTTGAATTACGGCGTTGTTTGAAGATTCCCCGGAGGGCTTCCAGATGGCAGAGACTTGGAAAACACTGTGACTGTTTTTAAGCTGCACATCGTGTCAGTGAGTCAGTCTATGTTGTATGACAAGGATTGCTGAATAAATGAACCATACCTTCACAAAGTCATCTTTTTCCACCGTCTGGCGGTTTTTCAAAGTGACGCTCTGGTGCTCCACCCAAGAAACACCTGGCTTTTCTCGTTCAAGAAAAGCAGGGGTCTCCGAACCCACCAACACACGGGCTAATAAGGCAGTAGGTCAGCTGAATGTGACTTCATGAATCAAACCAAGGTCATAACTTACGGCCCGCGTTGATGACAGCCGTTTCACTGGCTTTTGGGTCCAGTCCCATAGCCTTAGACAATTCGGGCATTCTAGCCAACAACGCACGAACTTGCGCGCCAGCGCAAACTCTTTCGCGCAATTGCTTGTCGAAGAATGTGTTACCGGATAAGAGACTTCGCATGAGTTGATAATTGTTGAAATTATTGGCAATGTCACGCCCCGGGCTCTGGCAGTTGGAATGCACTGAAGCAGCACGAAGGGCACCGTTGTAAGACTCGAACTTCTGTGTCATGAAGAGGTTCGCAGGGCCAAATCGCTCGATTGAGTCCTTCAAGTGGGTTAACATATGAAACTTCGGCTTATTCACCCATTGCGCCGTATGCTTGACTAACTGATGAAAAAAGCGGAGAATAGCGGCGTCCATTTCCTGCAGATACGTGTCCATGTTGGATATTTCGTGTTGAAATATGTAAGAGCCCAGGAGAGTCAGCGCGCTCCACAAATGGCGTTTTTCAGTTGAAATAGAATCAAAGAACACAAAAGGGGCTGCCTGAAGGACAGTCTGAAAGTCTTTTCCGACTAGACTCTGATAATGGACGATGAGTGTGTGAGGTTGAATAGCTGCAATGTTGAGGCCTTTTGAGTTAAATGTTCTCCACCGAGCGGCTAAGTCGCGGTAGCGTTTGGATCCGGGCTTGATGATGCCGAAGCCCTTCATCGTGTCTCTGAAGAGATACTTGACAATGCCCAGGAGTACGACGTGCAGCGTTTCAACCGGAGTGTCCTGATGTCCGTCGAATCCTGTGGCAAACACCGTTGGGCCAAATGCAGTCAGCATCTAGCCGCCCTCAAACGACATCTATTGAAAGACTGGCTTACCTCTAAGGCGCAACATGGGGTTAAACATACGTTCCCCGAGTTGACTCGTCAATTCTTCACATAGCTGGTGCACATCGCAGGTGTCGGGCGCTTCGTGAACCTTCTTGAGGAAAAATTCCAAGACCGAATCGCGAAAGCCGTGTTTGCGCGCTTCATTCTCAACCGCGGTTTTGCTGTGCGGCCTCTGAGCAATTTCCCATATTTGCCTCGCCCTTGCGCGCGTGCGATCCCAGTCGCGTTTGGGTAAAGAGAACTGTAAATATGACATGTCAACAAAATGTTTCCAATCGAATTCAGCCGATTGGCAGTAAGAAAGGCGGCACGTACCTGGTCCCCGTCTAAATCCACTCCAATGAAGTCAGAGACATACTGCTCGGTTTTTTTGTTGCTCATCTGGGGGACTTGTAAATCACATATACGACAAGGGGTCAAAGTCACAGCCGGATTGGTGGTATTGCTGATTTCTGCATGCATTGGGCCGTCCCCAAGTTGGAATAATACAACCACCATCGCGAGCACGTCACTTTGGCTGTGTTGGTCGTACGCGAGGAAGCCTTGTGCACTGTAATCACTACCGAAGTGCAGACGGGTAGCATGCGTCAGAATGAAAAGTGGAACTATGAGAGGTAAGGCACGTCTGATATACACACTTGATATCATCAACGACTTCATCGAGAAGTTCAAGCGCTGAAGCACAGTTAGAGGTCGCCAGGAAATGGATATGATACTCCTGGTTGGTCATCTTAGGAGGCAGGCCTGCGAGTGTAAAAAACACACTCATGTGTTTGTTCCAAGATTTGGATACATTACCGGATGTATCGTCAGAATACATGGTGAGGGGGATGTGTTTGATCACGTGTCCATTCGCTCTTGTGCGCCATGGATTCGGAATAGGCCATTGTTGGAAGCCCTCTTGGGTTTGCTCTGGCGTAAGAAATTCGCTATCAGTCAGCTTATATCAATACCTCAGGGACGCCAATGAGGTAAAGACACCAACGGTATATAAAGTGCCCAGCTTGGTCGGAAAGACTGGCGCCGTCAGGTAATTCGATTTCAGAGGATGTTCTCCAAAAGTCCTTGACGTCCAAGGTTGCAAATTGATCCGAGTCGAAAGAATGTTTGGCGGGGATGAGTAATTGGAGAGCCGCAGGATTTAGGGGATCTTTTTGGACAGTAGTGGAGAGGCATTTTGCCAAGATGCGTCCATGTTGTTGGAAAAAAAAAGCCGGTACAACAATCTGGGCGGAAAAAAGTTGAACTGGTTCGTAAATGAACCAGTGTTTCCCACGCGCGGGAACCATTGGCACACGGAGGTCTTTGCTGAACCCTTCGCACCATTTCTGCGACTGAGACAATCGGTTGATTGGTTCCGTTGTTGGCAACTCTGGTAGACACTCCAAAAATGGGCTGACCAGAGGATTCGCGAGTTCCTGGGATTGATCAAAGGAGGATAATAAGGCACATGTTTGCATGGAAACATTGAGCGTAAACACAGACATTACTGATTATCGTCTGCACTTTTAAGCCAAAAATAGGCTTGCCATGCGCGCTGGTCCTTTCAGACACCAGAAGACCGAGATTCTTCTTCAGACGCACGCTCAAGGCACGTAGAGCACCCCACTCCGGCAGTCGCACATTGCATATGTCCAAGATGGAGCGTATACGGTGGTATTGGGCCCGGGATAGAATGTTTCGAGTTGATCCTATGATCAATAAAGCCACCACGTGCTGAGTCAGAAAACCATGTAATCAGTAAACAAGCAACCTCGATGAAATATCAAATTCAGCACGTACTTCTTTTTTTTTGAAAGGGTACCACTCGGAAGAATCCGGGAGCTGACCGCTACGCAGATCAGCCTCAAGAGCGGCTTCATCCGCTGCCTCATCATGAGGACCCATGTCAGCGTCCTCCATGGCTGCAATAGCTTCGGCAAGCTTGTGGAGGTCAATTTCGCGGTCAGAGTCTTCGGAGTCACTTGACTTATTTTCCTGCGCAAATTCGAAGGCACGGAGGTACGAGAGGGGGGGAGAAGGTGGTCGTATCTCGGTATCGAAAACGGCCTCATCGTCCCCGAAAACGTCCTCTTGATGTGGCGGGGAGGGTGTAGTGTTTCGGGATTGTTGATGGTTGTCATTGAGTCCAGGTATCATCTGGTTTTCCGCTGCTAGACGGGCCTCGTAACGAGCCACCGCTTCGAGGTGAGCTTTGGATCGAGAGTGTGCGCCGTAAGTGCCCATCTGCCGTTTGCAGACCAGGCATTTCCATTGTGGATTGGAAGGCACCGAGGGAATGGATTCGAAATCTGTTTGAAGCAGTCAGGAATATAATATATATTATTACTATTTTTTATATTTTATGAGGAGACAAAAAACGCCGGTGGCAGCTTACATTGGTCAGGTGGTTGCGTTGCTGGGGCCATTTGGGGACAGAGTGAGATGAGAGGGCCTCAGGATGGTTTGTGTCTTGACGAGACAAAGGAATTGGAAAGCCTTCACTGAATTGATGCAAAATGATACTGGATCAATGCTTTGCGTGACTCTAGCGTGAACGCGGGAAGGAAGAGTTGATGAACATGAACATACGATTAGAAGATACTTGGGTCTACTATCTTGAGAAGATGAAGATGGCGAGTGATGATGAAATGTGTGGCACCGAACAAAACGAGACACTTGCAGAAGTGTGCGGAAGGGAGGCAAGATCTCGCACGCAAGATATGTCATGCATGCTTCAATCGTATGCCCTCGCAAAGGCCTTTTGGTGTCGGTGGGCAGAGGGCTTTGTGACGCTTTGTGATGTTAGAAAGGATATGCACCGCTGAGGTGCGGACTTTGGGAGACGTTGAAAAAGTCGACACAGAGGCCAAAGGAATCGATGCAGGTTATCTCGTGGACGATCTCAATTGAATGCCTCAAAGGCGTGTTCTTGTCGGTGGCCAGAGGGCTTCGTGGCTGCACACTGAGGAGAAGGCTGTATAGGCCACTGCTGGGTATGAGATCTCGCAGGCCTGATCAAGCGCAACCGGAGTGTGCAGGATGATTTTTCCGATATGCGAAGCTCAGCGCTCAGCAAATGGCGACAAGCATTGGACGATGGATGGCCAACGGAGGTCGGGCTCCAGCCAGTATTTGACCCGGGTACTACCCGGGTATTCGCCATCGAAGTGTCGGAGCACTGACGGACTAGGGGCCCCTTGCGGGCTGCCTAGGGGGTGGCTGCCGGCGATCAAGGGGCCGAAACTCGACCCGGCTGATTCAAGGCGGGATTCTGACACAGAGTCCCCCCGTGGTGTAGTCAAGCGTGTCAGAAGACTCAGAACCATCAATTGGTTATGAACAGTATCACAACCAACCAATTACGACTGACTCTCCTATGAGGCAATCCTATGATCGCGTATTAGACAATCCTATGATCGCGAGCTGAGAACCATCTCAGATCTCTTATGAGGGCAATAAAACCTAAGATCTCATCGGGTTGTCATCCAAACCCATTCAATTCGTCTTTGGTCCTACAAACAAGATCAAAAACGATCTCAATTTTCTTAAAGACACTCAAAATCCGAAAATCGATTGATTTTGCTTGGTCAAAACCGATTGACCTTCCTATCCTCCTACGGAAAAGATTATGAACAATCTCAGCTCGCTTGTGTAATCTAGAGGCTGATGATTTTGAGCAAGATCGAAATCCATCGATTCGCTCGTAATCCTATGAAGAAGATTGAAACGATTTCAATTTTCACACTACTCTTATCTATAATTCCTCGATTCTGATTCCTATACAATGACAATCTTTGCTAACTACAAATCATATATTCTAAACAATCAAGCTTATCTTCAAATTTCTGATAACCACAATGATGGTATAATTTGTGTGTTAATTCTGTTCAATTGGATTTGACCTAGTAACTAAAAGTCGTGATCTCCAGACATCAAACTTTGACACATTGAATCCAAACTCGATAGGGTTCAACTTGGGACAGTATTGTGATAGTTATTGGAGAAGGATACCTAGAAATGATGTTGTGGTTTATCAGTAAGTTGACTGGAATCCACTGAAGAGACAAATGGAGGAATTGAAGCAAAAAAAGGGTACCATCTGACTTACAGAGATCAGCAATCAATTGTCCATGGATAGGACACGCTTCCTGGAGCCGAGAAGCAGCGAGGGATTGAGTTTAGTGAGGAAAACGAAGTGACCGGCAGGGATTTTGAGAATGTGAGATTTTTTTGGCGGCAGCGGGGGGGATCAACAGGATGGAATGGAAGGAAGATTGCACCACCGGTCACAGGACCCTAAAATTTTTTTCTCTCTGCTGCGTTGTGACTGCTGCGGTGAAATCTGAGTTTGATTCTGTTTTATTTTTTCTTGATCGGACCAAGCTTTTTAGCAAAAGTAATACTAAATGATATGAAAGATAGATTAAGAACGGGAAATAGGACTATTGATAAACGATCTGTGTACACTATCATAGAATATGAAGACTATACGGGGAAACAGGGATCATAGAGATAAGATGAAGACTGTATAAATTCTGAGTGAAACGGATGATGCCCAATTATCATACATAGATCAGTTGGCATTTGAAGACATGAAGTTCATTGCTTCCGAGACATCATCATCGGTGGGAACCCTGAACCTTTCATCGGTCTTGATGTCGAAGATCGTCTTATTTCCGTCGAAAAAGCCTTGATCAGTTGCTAGAACAATAGTATCAAAACTGATGCAAACAAACACATGGTCAAGCATATATCAATCAGTACAGACTTTAATCAGTGAACTTACGCTCGACGATAAGCCCGGTTTTCACCACGAAGTTTTTCGAGCTGTTGATCCACCCAAGCCCAATGTGATTGCCCAGGACGCAACTTGCGGTCTACTTGGTTGGTGTACAGTAGTTAACGTCTACTTTGTACTACCTTCCGACCAGCCAAATGAAATCTTGTTTTTGAGATCAAAAATGACTACCTCAATGACTACCTTGTAAGTTGATAACTAGACAAGTACATTAAGGAGAGTAAGTGTAATCTATCTATATCTCCTTGGGACCATCTGAGGCATTGATAATTTTTTTTTCACTAGATGGTCAACATTTGGGCCCAAGCATAAGCTAGGCACTTAAGCCCCTTGGGTTAGGTACATAAGGTCCTAAGCCAAGTACTTAAGGTCTTGAGCCAAGTACTTACGGTCTTAAGCCAAGTACTTACAATCTTAAGTCAAGTACTTAAGGTCTTAAGTCAAGTACTTAAGGTCTCAAGCTAGGTACTTATAGTCTTAAGTGTCCGTGACAATGTGGACTTACACAGACCGGGGCCAGCTATGTGTCAGTGGTCCTGTGGTAGACCCAACGGGCTTACCAGCAGGGTAGATTGTAGGGAGAAGTGTTTGACCCAGGTGTGATGCAAGCTTTGCATATGTATCACAAGTTGCCTTGAGAAGCTTTTTGATACTCTGATGGTAGTGTATAACATCCTTTCTTTGTTAATCTTCATTAACCCAACCATGTTCTCAAACCATATTGGTTTGCCCTCACTTTTAATCTCTCAACCTCCAATGATGTATATTTGGGCTATTGTTCACTTTCAAGAATTCCTACACAATCATGAACCTCATTTTGAAAGTTCACACTCATTCACAAGGTCATTCTAACAAAAGCCAAGACAAAAACAAGTAGAGAAAAAAAATAAAGTAAACAAAAGGATCAAGAAGAATTTTTAAGGAAATGACAAGAAAAAGAGCAGGAAACAATGTAACAAAGTCACATCACGTATAGCGGGTATAGAAAGTTTCCAACCACTACTTGACCCTTGTACATGGGTTTTTTTTGAATCCATGCCAAAAACAATAAAAATCAGAAATGCCTGACAATTGGGCCCGGGGCCAGCCCCGGGGCCGCCCGTAGTCAGGTGTAGCACAGAGTAGACTTTAACTACTGTAGTTGTATATCACAGCCTCGATTCTCTGTAGCGGAAACATTATTGATCATGCAATGAATCTTACTGTATGAGTTCCAAATATGCTAACCAGATAAGCATATCGAGCTTTGGCCTTTGGGTCCATATCAGCGTCTACCTCTTTCGCAGTGCGAGGATCTTGTGGATTAAAGAATCGAGTCAACTGTAAAAAGAGTTATGATTGAAGAAAAACCAACAATTTGCATGATAAGTATTATGTAGCGAGGAACCAAAGTTGACTTACTAATAAAAGCAATTCAGAGAGCTTTGGCACTGGCTGCGCGGGTTCATCTATGTTGGAGTGAGTTACAATCATGTTGTTCAAGAGCTTCCAAATAACAGAGTTAGTCAGCTAGATCATGGGATTTAAGATAGTTGGACGTACAGCAATCCTAAAGTCGTCCCGGACATGCCTAACTTTGGCTCCAAAAAACTTCATGAATGCTTCATGTCTCTTCAGATCGGTCAACGTAGTACCAAAGTCTTGAGGTAAGTTTTCGGATTTCCATGAGTTCGATTGGTTGATTATAGCGTTCTACATGTGTAATTGAAATCAGTCGCTAAAATGAAGATGAGTATGTATAAGAGAGACGTACCATAGCTATCTTTTCAAAGGATCTTTGTATCATCTTTTTGTTTGGGTCGACTTTGTATGTGTACGATTCCATTGTATGGTCTTGCAATGTTTCACGTATGATCTTAGTGAGTCGAGTCTGGGAATAAAGCTGTTCAGTACACTCATCGTACATTCAATCAAATGACCTTACCCCCAAATCAGCGGCAGGCTTCCAGCTGGCAGTCGAACGGAGTTGGGCCACCACGTTGTCCATATCTTGACGTGTTTTCTGCAAGAGGCAGACTGATGCATGATATTGGTTTTCAGAACCTGTGATCTAAAACAATATCATGCATCAGTAACCAGCGTAAGGCGGCAAACGAAAGGTGGCTTACTGAGCTGATTCTGAGTGCTTCTGCTCGATGTTTTGAATCAAGTTCAAAAATGTCAGCAATCTGATTCCATTGAGCTCGATCTGCTCGGGCCATAGGCAGATTAGTTGAAGGAATTCCGGCCTGGGCAGACCGAAAAGGATCTCGATTGGTGGGATCCAAAGGTGGTGATTGATGAGGTGGAGACGGTGTAGGTGTAGGAGAATGGGCGGTTTGTTGGGGTCCGGGTTCCATTTCTTCATCACTATCGTCCTCTTCGTCCTTCCTACCACCTGAAGATAAACACAGTTAGAAGTCTGGACGCTCATATAACAGATACAAAGCATACCATTGTTATTGGTGTTGCTTTGAGAAGTGTTGGACCCAACAAATCTCAAAGACGCTGGAAGAGCTTCGGCCCTTAAAGCTTTGCGATTCCAAAACCTGTTTTAGACAAAGATGAAAGCACAAGCAGGCGAAGGACTTACGTGGTGAGGCCGAACGTGAATCACGGGTTCGCAAGTTCGGACGTTGGGAATCTGGCATGATGTTTGCTGAGAGTTGAGGACTTGAGCAAAAGGGAAATAAGTGAAAAAAAAATGAAAGTCAACAGAAGTTGAACGATTGTGAGTTGTTCAAACCAAACTTCAAGTTGTCAAACCTTTATTTGAAATCCGAAGGGCAGCACCGCGAAAGGTCTCAAGTGCACCGCACTTGAGACCTTTCGCGGATCACTCACTCTGAGATCATTGGGACGATTGGCTCTGCTTATCAACTTCAACGAAGTTGATAAGGGATTTTGATCTCACGTTCAATCTTTCCTTGATCAATGAATTGTTGACTCTTTTGAATCGACAATACTTGATCAGTTAAAAACTTCGAAACAGAGTGTTACATTTTGAATCGAGTGGTTTGTGGCATAAGTATTGCAATGGATGTGATTGATCCAAGCATGAAATCATCCCTTGAAGCAAGTCACTTCATCATGAGCTTCGTATCTACATTTCAATGTCCACAGAATACAAATGAATCTGATTCAATCAAATAACGCTGGGTCAATATCTTGGCGTGTTTCAATATGCTCATGTTTCCTTTTCTTTCCTTTGCCTTGTTCTTTTTTTTATTATCTTTCGTTGTTTTGTCGTGTTTGGCTTGATCTTTTTTGGCCTGAGTATCTTTCCAGTTGTTTATACCCATCTTGATACATTCCTCCCATTCCTCACTGGTCCATTGAGTGTATTTGATGTTTGCCACAACTCGATGATCTTCAGCTGAGTACAGCGAACCTGAGTTCAGGATGTACTCGTTGACTTCCTTATGTTCGATTTGATATGGTGATTTGACTGGCATTTGTCCGTCGTGTCTAGGAGGACTTGCCAGTGGCTGACACTTGGACAAATGGCAGTTGTGCTGCACATTCAGCACACACTTTATTTTCTATAAAACGTATAAAGTATTTCAATTCAATGTTTGTGATTTTTTTTTATTCAAAACACTCACCTCAACAGGAATCCACAAGATTTCTTGAGTGACAGTCAAACCACGGAAACCATAGAAATTGTCAATCTCCTCATTCAAGCGGCAAACCTTGACCTTGGCCAAAAATTTCAAACTACTCTTGCAACGTCCATGCCAAAAGGTTTCAATTTGCCCTAATTTTGGAGTGTTGTTTAGAGGGTAGTGACGACGGCACTAGGAATTACCCCAGTCCATGTCACGCCCCGGAAAGCTCACTCAGGACGGATCCATGAGAATCCCCTTAGATGGTAAACCGCTAGAGGACTACCGGTAGTCCTGCCCTGATTAGGCTATCGACCAGGACTTGAGAGACCTGTGACCTTGTTTCTCCTAGGGTGCCTTCGCACGTCGCCCAAGGTTTAGGAAGTTACCTTCCCACCGTCTCTTTTCCTGTCTCCGCCAAATCATTCTCACGATTCTCTGATCCCTTGTCTGAAGCGAGCTTTCGGAGCGGTAAAAGTCCTTTTTCTACAATCATCAATTTTCTATAATCATCCTTGCCTAGTTCACAGTGGAAGTAATCCATGGATTCAAACGTGATGTAGTCCGTATTCTGAACGTGATGTAGTCCGTTCCTCGCTTGATGAATTTAACGACAATGTAATTCGTTTTCATAAAACGTGATTTATTCCGTTCATGCGTGATTTATTCCGCCAAATAATCTTTTTGACGTGATTTAATCCGTTCATTCTTGGGTTATGTCATTCAAAATCAAAAATTTTTAGTTCATTAATGATCGATAACTGATATTGATTGGTAACTGATTGGATAATGATTGTGTAGATATAACTGTCGAAATTGCTAAAATGGCTTTAGCAATGGGTAACACGAAAATCGTCGAACAATTCTTGAAAAGCATAAGTCCGGACAACATATCTTTAAGTTCGAACGACCCGATGAAAAACTACCAAAGCGGACAAGTATCAAAATCAGAATTAAGAGCGTTTACAAAATACTGGGACAACCATTTAAAGAAGATGGATATCTATTTCAAATTGACGATTTTTAATGATAAGTGGATAGAGTTAGATCATATGGTGGATGGTAATAATACTTCTTCAAAGAAGAAAGATAAACCTACAGGTCAACCAGCTAAAAGTGAATGGTGGATGACCTTTGCCGATTGGACTAGAGCAAAGACGTTGATGTTGAAGTATCTAGTCGATGTGTATGGACACAAACCCTTTGCAAAAGAGTAAGCAACGAGAATTAATCATATCGAAATTACGATTATTGGCTGCTGATTAGCGTGACTTTAATAGTTTGAAAACTCATTTCGAGTATGTCGAAAACCTGAGCTTGAGACATGTTTGGATTACTGCATTTCGCTACGATATCATGGTCAGAACGGATGTTCTCTGTAACAGAGTAAACGGTTCACCAGGCAACCCAAAAGTCATTAGAGATAATTTCTTTGACGAAGCAAAAGCTAGATCAGAACTTTTACAAGATGGTAGATTAATGCTGTTAGACAACCGTAAGTTAATTATCTACACGAAATGTTAGTAAACAAGCTAATGAGATCTTAAAAATATGAAATAGCATATGCGAAAGGTAATATCAGAGAAAGATTTAGTCCTATAACTGGGAAACAATACCCAATCGGTGTGAATCACGACTCAGCAGATGCAGATGTAGCAGAGACACAATTCGACAATTCAAACTTGAGACCACCTTCCTTTGAAAGAAACGATAGTTTCAAGAACGACAAGTTTGATAATGGTAATAGGAGGAATGATTATCAAAGTAACAACAGAAGAAACAATAGAGGAAAGTTTAGAAATGAAAGATCTCCGGGACCTTACCATAGAATTGGAAATAAGGAAAACCAAGACTCGAGAAACAAGGGAAAATTCGTGTAAGCCTTATTTAAATACATGAAAAAGGAAACATGTTGAAGTTTGTTTCCTAATTAGCGATAGATCTCAATTCTCGAGGAATGAAGAGGATCCTCCTAGACAATCAACCTCAAAAGACAAGCAAACGTAAGCGTGGTTTTCTTAACATTTGGTTTATCATGTTTATAATTAGATCGCGTTTTTAAAAAAAAACTTTGTAAAATGGGTTGAAAATAATATGTATGTTTGCAATGAATTAAAATGTCAGCTTTCATGTAGAGGATGGCCCACCCGAGGAATGTCGAGATGTAGTTATGTCAACATCAGATTTGCCTCCTACGAAGTCAAATAAGTCGAGTTGGCCGTCGGAAGTAAGATGTAACATGAACATTCCAGTGTGGGAATTTCAATTAAAGAAATATGGATTATTTGAAAAGTACGGATATCTTCTAGATGGATTTAAAAACGGCTTCCATCAAGGTGTTCCTTATCATACGGTAGGAAACTTAAAGTACTACTGCCCACCTAATCACAACTCAGCGTTGAAAGCGAGATCAAAAATCGAAAAGAATATTGAAAAAGAAATTGCTGCTGGACGTATGTTTGGACCTTATGAAAAAGAAGAGGTATTTGAAAGACTAGGATTTTTTCGGACGAATCCTCTAGGTGCAGTGGAGAATGGTGACGGTACATTCAGGCCCATAAATGATATGTCGTACCCTCGATTCGACAAGGACATCTCATCCGTAAATTCTTTCGTAAACAAAGAAGAGTTCGAAACAACTTGGGATGACTTCAAGTTGGTGGCACTATTTATAAAGAGGCTTAAAACGGATGTCCTAATGGGAATTTTCGATTGGGAAGGAGCGTATAGGCAAATACCAACGCATCCTTCCCAATGGCCATATCTAGCCATAATGGATTTCGACGACAAGGTCCTCATCGACATCATGATCGCCTTTGGTGGTGTAACGGGGTGCGGTTCATTTGGAGGTCCAGCGGACGGCTGGAAAGAATTAATGAAGGCCATTTTTAAGTTGATGGAGGTTTTTCGTTGGGTAGACGATAACCTGATGATAAAACACAAATGCGACAAGACGACGATGCTAGAGATCGTGAAAGCTAGCGAAGAACTTGGCGTAAAGACGAACGTGACCAAATACTCAGAATTCGCTGAAGAACAAAAATTCATCGGGTTTTTCTGGAACGTAGTTGATAAAACGGTAAGGTTACCTGATAAGAAGCTTCAAAAACGCAAAAAAGAAGTGGATGAATTTTTGCAAATGACGACTTGCACAAAGAAGCAGCTTCAAAAGTTTAACGGCAAGTTAAGCCACTTGACGCTAATTCTACCTCAACTAAAATGCTACTTAACAGAAGGCTTTAGCTTTGTGGCAGCCTGGAAAACACCCGGAAGAAGGAAGATCCCCGACGACCTGAAAGAAGATATAAGGTACTGGAAGTCGTATCTTGAAAACTTAAACCCTACGAAAATTATACCAGATCATGTGATAAAGAATGTCGGGTGGGTTGGAGACGCCTCGACAGAATTTGGCATCGGTATAATCTTAGGAAAATCATGGGCGCAATTTGCCTGGCTTCCTGGTTGGGATTCACCCGAGGGACGGCCCAGGCGAACCATCGCCTGGGCAGAGACCGTGGCGGTCAGGTTGGGTTTATTGATGTTGAAGGACAAATTACTTAATGGTGTATCAGACATGGCTGGGCTAAGATTTTCTTGCTTGACTGACAATACTACGACTGAAGGAGCCGCACGGAATCGTAAATCACGCGACTTCTGGGTAAATCGGGAGTGGAGGATTCTACAGGACTTATTGGTTGAGTTTGACTGCGACATTAATCTAGTCAGGGTAACTTCTGCTGACAACGAAGCAGACAAACTATCGCGTGGGTTCGGACCTTCCAAGGGTTTAACCAACCTTATAAGAATCGCGATGCCTACCGACCTCGCCCCTCTCATACAACAAGTCTTCCCGCTTCCAAGACCCCCCTTCGATGTCAGCCAAATTAACCTTACGACAAACTAGTCCTCAGGTGTTCAGACCTTTAAACAAAGTTAGCGAAAGAATACTCAAGCATGGATGGGCAGCATCAACCACCCGCCAATACGCAGCTGCGGTCAACAAATATTTTTCTTTCATGAAGTCGTCTCTGTTCCCATTTCCCGCCTCGGCAAACGACATATACCACTTTGTGCTTTGGTGCACTGACGTAAACAGCAACCGACCGGTGATCAGTAACACAACTAAACGATACCTGACCGGATTAAGGATGTGGCATACCTTGCACGACATGAAATTCCCCACCCTCGACTTGAATTGCCTCAGATTACTCCTAAAAGCTGCGAAGAATTGTGAGGTTCGAAATCCTACATCGTCACGTGTGGGTTTAACTTTAATGGACCTCGACAAACTTATGGTAAAGCTGCAAGGTCCTTCGTCTACGAACAGGACTCTGCGGGCGATACTCCTTGTAGGCTTCTGGGGACTAGCACGTTTAGGCGAATTGACAATGCATGACGACCACCCAGACGTCTTCATCCGACGTCGAGATGTAGCCTTCTCAAACGATTTCAAAAACGCATCTATTCGCCTACGCCTCGCCAAAACTGCCGCTCCTGGAGAGCTGCAGTACCTCCGCCTCCAACACCAACCGAGTCTACTAGACCCCGTTGCTGCCTTACGTGACCTACTTACCTCGACGACAGGCGCTCCAGACGACCCTCTCTTCCGGGGTGTCTTCAACAGTCCCCTGCCGAAGTCCTGTGTTTTAAACTTTCTACGATTGCACCAACCAGACGGAGCTGAGACCTGGTCGGGTCACAGCCTTCGCATCGGCGGTGCCTCCTTACGGGCAAATTTGGGCTGCTCTTTGCGTTCTTTAAAACGCGCAGGTCGTTGGAAATCGTCCGCTTACAAGCTTTACGTCAGACGCTACTCACCTGATGTACTGAGCGGGACGCGACTGTTAGCACGGCAACTGAATGAATCCCGTCGTGTTTAAAGCCTGGCTTACCTCCTTCATTGTATGATACTTACTGCAGATTGTATTGTGTTGATGGCTTAAACGAAATGATTTCATTTGTAGCTTTTTAGTTTGTGGGATATGCTCCTTGTGAGTGTGCCTCCAATGAGATCGGGTTTTCGAGCCCCTTTGCAGGAACTCGGCTCATTTTGAGCCTCACTCCCTGTGGATGGGGTTCGAAAGGACTCTCTTCCCGCTCTCTCATCGGATGCGCTCTTAGAAACTGACGAACGGAACTTTGAGGATTCCGCGTAAGTTTCTAAGAGGGACGCTAGGATCCTCCCACAACGGCTGTCCTCACTCTTGGATGTCCAAGAGCAAGTACAGCCAACCTAGAATAACCTAGCTAGCGTGGATGGGAATACCTCTTCCCTTTTTCCCATCCACGCTCACCCTCCAGGCTTGGAGGAAGAAAGACATGGACACCGGGTAGCACCATTAAAATAAAGTTTTCCATACGGACGCGTTGGCCAGATCGAAGAAACACTTCTTTCTTTTGTGACCAGTCAAAATTAGGGAATGCTTCTTTGATATCACTCGGCGCCAAGTTTTCATTCATGTCACCTATAGCAAGATAATCAGCATATCAGAATCTGGAATCACACACGATTTGACGTACCTTTCATCGAAATTGAGCGTTCAG